TCCAACCACACTGGTAAGAACATTACTCCTCGGGGCTTGTGAGACGGTTGACGCGTACGTTGGTTAAAGTGTACTGGCCCACCACAGGTCACGGACAATGTTTTCTTACGAGAAAATGTGTTGTCGTGGAAGCTCGGCTATCTCCGCTTCCCAAATCTCCAGAAACTCAGTCCATCCCCTGCACAAAAACCAACCACAACGGCTTCTAGATCCCCTGAATAACGTGACAGGTTCCGTGCAAAGGAAACTGGGTGCTTCGAGTCCCGGCCGCGGCATGGGATTTTTTAGACGATCCAGTCTATACCAGCAGGTTTGGCGCGCGGGGGAGTGGTGCGTTATGCTTCGTCCCAACTTCCTCCCGTCGGCCAACAATCACTACTGTGCGCTAGGCCACTCCCCATCCAGGCGCTCCCAGCCCCACAAGCAATATACACTCAACACTCCTCCAAGCACCTCCAAGCCTGGCCTGAAGGTAGCCCAGGCCAGGGCGCAGGGCCGCCAAGGCCTCGACTCCAACGACGAGCACCTCTGGTTGCTCGGTCTAGCGCTCGTCCAAAGCGAGGGCGATCACCACGTCGCCACTCACTCGCCCAACAACTAACTGCATGGTCTCGCAAGGGAACTCATAAGAAGTGTTAGTCCCCCAATTTTGTTCCGCCTGCGGGGGGGTTTTGTGAGGGTCAGTGTCAGCAAAGACGGACGACAACAACGCACAAGGCCGTGAATCTCAGATCAAAGAGTCGTAACTACTCTTGTTCTAGAAAGCAATAACGTATTTAATTAGTAGAAATAATTTTGTATTAGATTTTGTTTTATTCGGATCGTCTATTTGTTAACACGCAGTGTTAACGTTTTTACATCCCAGTTCGCTATAGGATAGCAGCAGGCTGCCTCCGAAAGTGTTTCGGCTGAGAAAAATATCGATTTGACTGAGATTCGAACCGCTGAAAAACAAATCTCACGTGCCGCACTGAGCGGGGCACCGCCGGAGACGTCACGGCTGTAGCTGCTTGCCGCGTACGCATCACGCGGGGCGAGTCTCTAGTCAGGAGGATCTTCCTAGTCGTCTACTTTCAGGTAGAACAGGATTGAACACAACATTTACTTACCCCAAGGTGTACCTAACTTGAGATTTTGCGTGGGTGGAAGTGTTGGAGGAAACAAGCTTGGTAGCTGGGTAGGTCGGGTGGCGATCCGCATTTCGCTTCTCTCTTTCCTTCGCGTAGGAAAAGTACTGATTGAATGCAGCCCAAGGCATTTCTCCCAGCCTAGGTCTCGATTTTCCTCAACCCCTCTCGGCCTTGCATGGGTCGGGGTTCGACTCACGGCGAAAGCGGGCCGTGGGAGTTCCCTGGTCTGGCACCTTGCTGTGGTTGCGGGCACTAATAAGACCTAGAATTTGGCTTTAAAGGAGCTCCATGACCTGTGGTGGGTCAGTGCAGAAGAACCAACGTACGCGTCAACCGTCTCACAAACCCCGGGAGTATGTTCTGACCACTGTGGTGGAAAGCGGTTGTTCCCGCGATCACAGAAGTCACCAACAACTGCGGTGGGAAGAGGAAAGCACTCCCAGATTTTTACTTTTGTCCGGGTGGAGGGAGAGGGGCGTAAGTATTTACGATGCCGAGCGGATTTATTTCTACAGTCGGTTCTGATAAAGCTGCCCGTGGCACTGTCGGTTATAGCTACAACGAACTGTATAGCTACAAACAGGGACATGTCCTGGACGAAGTCCAGCAGCAGCATCGTCAAAACATCGGTGAAGGCATTTTTTATAGCATTCTGCTACTCGTGTTTCAGTGGTGGGCAACAAAACAGCTCCATACTGGGTGCTGAACACCGACTACTCCAACTACTCGGTGGTCTACTCGTGCTCCGCCGTCCTCGGCTTTCTCCGCGCTGGTCAGTGTGCGTGCATGTGTGTGTGTGTGTGTGTGTGTGCGCGCGCGCGCGCGCAGTCCATCCCCAAGACTGTCTCCACCGCTCTTTACCCTCCCCCTCCTCTCCCTCTGGTGTTAGGGCCCGGTCGGGCCTCCCCCCGCTCGGTGCCCTTGGATGCCTCGGATCCCTTGGACGGTGGGGCGCCTACGGGGTGGGCCGCTGGCTCCACGCAGGTGCTTGGCGGGCTGGCCTACCCGACCCGTTGCAGGCGTCATCAGAACAGATCAGAAGCAGAAGCGTCCCCTACGGAGCCTGCAAACGATATTCAGCCGAAAGACGCCTCGCTCGTCGCCTGGGTGGGCTGTGGGCGTGAGCTGGGCCTGGGCAAGCAGCGCCTCGGGCAAGGTGGCCTCGAGGACCGTCCATTGTGGCCACAATCTACGCATTACAGACACACTTCCACTGACTTTGACAATCGAGGCCTCGGCAAAGAGGTGGCATTTCTGTTTCAGATTTAAATTTATTTCTTCGTTTTTAGAGTCCGCGTGGATCCTAAGCAGGACAAGGACGGTCGACGACCCCGCCGTGCACAAGGCCATCGAGGAGGCGGTGGTGAAGGCGGGCATCAGCAGGAACAGCTTCCAGAAGACAGACCAGCAGGACTGCAGGGCAGCGGATTAACACCCCCTCCCTCCCCCCTTCGGACCTTACTCACGTACAATATTGGGTTTTACTATTTCTTTTGACTTATTTTTCAAACTGAAAAAGATGCTTTAGAAGTAGTAATACTTTAAGTTACCTCAGTGAGATCTCTGATGCTGTTCCCTACATTCCAGAATGCTGTGTTGGTAATGTTAGTCACACACTGCGACCAGCGGACAAAAGTGTTCAAAGAAGAACGGTTTCCAGTCAATATTGTAAATAAATAAAAATCACACGTAGTTAGTTTTGTTCTGTAATTGTTTCTATCTCTGCTACAGTCGCCTCACTATAAGAAATAACTTGAACATTGCGCGTTAAGAAAATAGTCCCTACCATCGTGATGAGCTAACTTCTAGTCTAACTATCCCACGGCTGAAAACTAAATACTAAATAATGGACCAAACTTTATCGTTTAGCACTGGATGATTCCTGTTACAAGACAGTTACGTTTAGACACTTTAATAAGAATTTTTGCGTACAGCTATCGCTCCGCCAGGTTACTCCTTATAGTGAGGCGACTGTATTGCTGCATTCACTTCGATTTAGAATGCTTTGCAGGCACATCCCAGGGTGCAGTCCATCCGCCCCAAATGACATCAAAATTATAAAACAATATCCGCAATATCACTCCAGGGCAAAGCATTTGCAAGCAGGACTGAACATTGCTCCAGGACACATGACACCTGTCTGGGCTGGGCCCTGCAAACTGGCTTTCTTCATAGTGGTAAAAATAAAAACAAATGTAGATAGAAGAATACAGAAATTCATTTAACTTACAAGCTGTTCAATACATTCTAAAATTCAACAAATGTTGACAATTTCGGTTACCTCTATAACATTTTGTTTAATATCAGTGCATTAAAAAAGATTGCGGCAAATGGGGCATGTTGACTTGTTACTTGTCTGGAACCACTTGTACTGTAAAAAACAACAACATAAAAATGTTAAAATCACTAACAGAAAACTAAATATCACTTGTTCGGTTGGATAAATACCAAGCATGTGGAGTGGAATTTCTTGCGGCAAGTACGGCAGGATAGTTTCGGGAGCTGATAGTTTGCTCCAGAAAGCACACAGAAACAAATGTAGCATTCTTCAACGCCTTCGTATCTTCGGACAACATTATTCCGCCATAAAGCCAAACCATCCCACAAAGTGCCATTCTGTCAAGGAATAAAAAAGATTCAAAAACCCTTCAAAAAAATACATATCTATGCAGTAAAAGTAAGCTGAATTTTACTCCACCTGGTGTGTGAGGAACATAGTAAGCTGCATGAGCCATCGTCGCCATTGAACTGCAGCAGCAGCATTTCTCTTGCCAACTTCCACAATCATAGGGGAGAGGGGGTGGTTTGTTGGCAAGCGAACAACCAATTCCATAACTAAATCATCTACTGTGTAGGTGGCAACAACCTCACGGACGTTTGAGTGTACCCGCACCTGAAAAGAAAAATAGCAGACTTCAAATTCAGCATCCACAGACAAGGTATGAGCCAAGTATTTCAAAATGCATTCAGTGTACATAGAAAATAATAATACGGGAGCTACTCACAGTCATATTTTCCACTGTTTTATCCTGCATTTTAGCCACTGCACACATTTCAGCGGTACAAATATGGGGACTGAAATGTTTTGAAACAACACGATCTATGAGAGTAGCTGACTTAGCATCTGAGTTTGTCCACCACTGGCGTGCAAGGGCGGGTAAGCAGCTCAACACACCAAACAGGTCGTTGCAGGCCAAATACTGTACAACACCACTAGTCCAACGAGCTATGGGGTAATTAACAAAAGAGAGAGATTTAGTCAATTTTTCGAGGTTCTTTCAAGCATTTAAGGTTTTATAGAAATATTGTCAACAAACCTCCTGATAATATATTTGGAGCTTGTGTTGAGAAGTAGTCAAGTGATTTTTTCATCTTTTCATCAAAAGCCTCTTGAGGAAGGAGGCGGAATATGTTGTTGAGTAAAGTTTCAGCATAGTTTTCAGACCTAAAATAACAAATCAATCCCAAACAAACATTAAAAATTCAATCTTGTTTAAAACTGCAACTTTTATGTATTTTAAGAAAGTAACTTACGAGTTTTTTAGCCAAATTGCATATTGACAAGTCAATTCTGTTTCTGCTTCCTTACACATATCAAGTATTAAAGACCATACCAATAAATAGCCAGTAGTATAAGTGTAAGAATCAGTAAAGGGTTGGACAGTACAACATGTTCCAAGCCTGAAGATGGGGTAAAAATAAAGAGAGTTAGCAGGTACAGTCCAGTCCAAACATTCATTTTGATATAGGTTGATGGATGTGCACAACATACTTTGCATCACTCAACATTGTTGAAACAACTGTTTGGGCATGAGCAAGGACATCTTCAAGGTGCAAAAGACTGAGTCTTTCTTCAGAATTTATGGGGCTATCATTTTCTTCATCTGCATTGTTAATGTTAGCAAAAATTGCAGCATCATGTTTTACCATATAAGGAATAATTCTGTAAAAGTTGAAAAAATAAAAAGTTTAAAAAGACAATAAAATGTAATTTTAGATCATAGTAGCAAACAATTAAAATAGGAAAACAAGACTGTAACTTACTTGAAAATTAAGTGGAAAGCAGCAAGTCGGACTGAACCTAAGTTATGTAATAGTAATGGAGGTGCTAACTTCAGAACTGGCTCAAACATGACATCACCTCCCTTCGATGATCGGAGAAATTCTATACTAAAACTTTGAATAGCCAGACCAAGCTGGGTGAGTAAAGCAACTAATGGGGGCGATTCATCTGAGGGCTTAAGATTTTCTGCAAAAGTTAAAATGAAAACAAATCACATGATTGCTCAGTCACTACAAACAAACTTTAAAATAGGGAAGTGAATTGTACACTTGCCAACAATATCTGTCCATAATGCAAGAATCTTGTGTTCACACTCTCCAGCAAATACATCCAACCATTCACGTGGAAGGCTTTCTTTAAGGGAGCCACGCTCTGCATCAACTAACTCAATACTACCCTTATTGAGCTTAAAAAGGTTCTTGTTGAAGGCTAAGAATAAGTTGCAAACTTCTTGTAAAAATGTACAAACCTACAAAAATCCACAAACATGTTAAACAAAATTAAAACAAGACAAAATCAAAGTTGAGGCATGCATGCACTCTCTGTTCTACTCACTTTTCTTGACAAGTGAGATATACCATCCTGCACATCATGTTTACCCATTATCGTTTCATAAGCGCAATGAATCCACGTGGCCATGGCAATCATTACTTGATCCCAATTACGACTACTTAATAGTTCAGGGCCACATGTCACAATTGCCCTCAGAAACTTCACAGCATGTAAAGTATCACATACCACAGCCAGAGCACAGCCATCTATAGTGCTGATAAAATAAAAAATAAAACAAAAATTAATTCTTTATGCTCAGCTGCACAGCAGGGCATTGTAATGTAATGTAATGTGTAGCAAAAACGCTTAAAAATGAAAACAAAGAACCAATTTAAAAGCCTTTTTGAAGCATTTTTGAAAAAATTTCAAGGCATCCTCATTAAAAACGGTCTTGGGAAGCTGAAAATGCTTCAAAACTCTTTTAAATTGCAATTTGACTTTTGGTTAAGTCCGAACTTGTTACGCGTCACGTTACATTACATTACAATGCTCTGCTGCACAAAACCTTTACAAATTTCCTAAAAAGAAAAAAGAAATTGACTCACTTATTGCTCACAAATCGCCAGTTACATTGAATTTGAAGTTTGTAGACAGCATCAAGCCAAACTGTTGCATGCGGCCTGATTTCCTCACTGAGACCATTAGCAAGAATATAATCAGAAATCACATCTAGATTTGACAAATCTATGTTTTGCAATGAATTGTCATCTATAGAAAGGAGAGGAATGTGTGATATTTTGCCAAAGTTACAATCTTCAGACAGCGTATTGCATGAATAGGTGACATGCCATGCTCTATGTGCTCTTTCATGAGCTGCAGATTTGTAAGACCTAAAAAGAAATATTCAAAATAATAATATTTTTTTAGATTTTCTCCGAAGAACTGAGCAGTTCATATTACATACAGCTCTTGAAGAATATCATGGACTGATGACCGTTGTGAAGAACTCAGAGTAGATATGATTTCCTTGATAGTATCCTTGGTGTCTATAGAAAGGCGATGTAGGGAGTTTCCCAATTCAGTCTATAGAACATGAAGAGGCACAGTAACAACACATGCTAATTAAAGTATTTTTTTTACTTGTACCTACAAAAATGACTAAGCATGAGAATACTTACGAAAGAAAAATGGTCAGATATATATTTCACATCATTTAAAACAACAAACATTTCTAAGAATATATCCAAAGCAAAGAATAGGTGATCTTCATTTCCTTCATCAACAAAGGGTTTAAATGACGGCACAGAAGACAATTGGTGAAGTGCAAAGGCTACAATAGCACCCCAATACCCTGCTCCCACAATTTCAATCTAAAAAAAAATATTGCACATTATAAAAGACCACATCAGACAAAATAATGTTCTTAATTTATCAAAACTGAATTCAGTAAAAGAGATACATACTAAAGGACTTCTTGGTATAATTTGTGAACTATCAATACCAATGTGAAAAGGTTCCACACAGTCAGCCAAAGACTCAATGCCTCTCCGGTGCAAAATAGAAATGCCTTTCAATCCCTTTTCTTCACCCTCTTTGCCTGTTGCTTTGTTTGAAAACAAGGAGGTCAGGAGAGTAGAACATACAGCTTTTCTCTCCTTGTCTTCATCTATATTAACAAAGCTGTCTGTCACAATTTCAACAAACTGCGCCAACTGAGACGCCACATGGGTAAGATCATCTTTTGATAAGGTTGATCTGAAATTGACAGCAAGATGAATAGACTTTAAGCGTAATTCAATAAATAAAGCTTCTCAAACAAAAGCTATAACATTAATTATAGAAAACTTACTTCCCATACAACAACATTAGAACAGCATCGACAAATGCAGAGCAAAGCTGAAGAACTGTGGAACTGGAATGCCCATGCGTACGAGCCAAAGCCCTAGTTCCATTTTTCCACAAACTAGACAATGCTTCCACCCCCAATAAAGAGTGATGTTCCCAAAGGCATATCTGAAAAGGTAAAAATGAAAGCAAGCTTCTTTTGAAAAATGACTCAAGTGAATGACAATACTAAAATGTGCACAAGTGACTACACAGACAGTTCACTACACTGTACCTGGAATGCTACAGATAGAACTCTTTCAGGAGAAGACATAGTACGTAGGTATGGACTCTGCTCAATGTATAGTTTTGTAATAATATTTGCAGCAACTGAGGTCCACTGAGGAAGCCCTGCACTGGAGTGAACAGTGTCTTCCCATTGAATAACTATTGCACTCAGAACATCTTCTAGGGTAGCATGGCAGAAAACGTGATCTGAAAGTAGATGCAAAATTTTATGATAATTGACATAAAGGGTTTGAACTAAGATTTGTGAGCACACAAACTTGGCAATGTCTTACCACCATCATCAGCAATACTAAAACCTGATGACAAAAGGTCCCAAGTTGTCATCAAGGCAGTATCAGACATTAAAGCTAGTTCAGTCATTTGTTTTATTACTGGTGTAAGTTGAGGACTCCTGAGCCATGTAGAAGCTGCCCCACCACACAAAACATTTTCTTCAACAAGCCATAACAATTGATGAACATCTAAACCACTCTGAAAAGATACCAAGGTCAGATTAATGTTTCTTAATCCTCCTAAAATTCTTGAAAAATAGAAATCATCAAAAATTTTAGACGTTAATTCTTACTTTCAGCAATTGATCAAAGAGTTGATTCTGCTGTTCTACAGGTAACTTGGCAAGGAGCGGAACACAAAATGATACTGCAGCATGACAAAATAGGGTACTTTTGGGTTGAAGCCAAGTGATAAGATGTTGGGAGAATAGTTCCTCCTCACTGGTAAAAGAAACAATGTATGAACATAGAAAAGTAAAAGATATTTAAGTTGCCAATGAAAAAATTTTGTTTTGGCTCACCTGGAAATATTGACTGATTTTGCCAAATCAGAGTAAAGAGAAGATAGGCTAAGAACTTTAGAGAGAGAGGCTAAGGCAGTTAAATAATCAACACACTCTGAATTCATGACAGCTTGCATGTAGCAAGAACATAAGGCTTTAGCCATACTCTGGACTTTAGCATATGTGACTGCACTAGGGATATATTTGCTTTCTTCAGGGGAGCTTTCCTCCGCCAAATCTTGCACATTGAGATCAGCAAATTTGACCTGACGGATGTAATAAAAAGAATCATTGAAAAGCCAAAATTTATTTGTTAAATAAAGAGATGGATAATTGGGAAGTTGCAAAGTTTAAACTCCCCATAAGAGTTTACTTACTTTCATAGGTCGGCTCTGTTTTTCCAGCATGCATGTGATAAAGTCTACCTGTGACTTTAACACACTTTTCAATGGAAGAGGCTCTCGTTTCAGAGGTATTTCATTAACGTCTAAATTATTGAGGGCTTCACTATCAGTTTCTTTCATAGAGTTAGAATTAACAGGCTCCTTTGCCTCTTCCAGCTGCTCCTGTAAAGCCATTCTTTTAAGTTCAGTAGTTAGATCGGAACAGAAGGAATGCAAATGTTTCTGTTGAACAGAATCCTCTGAAGATCGACCCCAAGAGTGAAGCAATCTAGAAATGCTGTAGTATAATGCTTCAGAAGCATGTGTTTTTTTACAAGTTTGAATGGTTTCACACAAGCACGGAAGCAAATGGTTCTTCAGTAACTCTTGCCCCAAAGCCTCATTATCTTGGTTCAGCTGAATGACATATTGTAAGCATTCAACAAATGCATTTGCAACTGCTTTACTTTCAGACAAGCTCAACTGAACTGTCCGTTGATTAAACCTGCAAATCACATTCATCACAGTAATTCAGAGTTGCAAATATCAAAAGTCGAAGACTCTCACATCACAATACAAGACTTAAGGCTTTATAACAGTGACTTTGCTCACCCTGTCTGTATGCTGCTAAAAAATTTACCATGGAAAGTATTTGTATCTTTCAGAATTTTGCCTGGCATTTTACTCAACAGCGGCAAAAGAGATGGAAAGATAGCTGCTGCTGATCCCTTTCCACCTTCACGACATACTCTTAGTAGTTTGGGTAAAACAAGTTTCTCAAAAGATACTGCTTCAAGGAGTCCCTCCAAAGCAATCAGAGCTACAAGGGTAGCCTCCCAAACTACTGAGAGAACAGTTGCATCAGATTCGTCAAGAGAACCAAAGACTGCTTGACCAATCCGTTTTTCTTCACCTAAAATAAAAAACTGTGCATTCTGACACAAAGCTATCAAAGCACTGAACCAAGCACCCCTCACTTGAGGAGACTGATGTTTGTTAAGTTTCCAAAACTTGGCATCAGATACAAGTTTTTGGTTCATTTCTCTAGCAGAAATTAATTGGTCACCAGAAAGCCTTGTCAAGTACAATGCATATCCTTGGAGACTACTAATCAGAGTTCGAATGTACTTGGATTCAATCTCTTCTGGGGTCATGGTTTTAGCATTGCAGAGAGTTTGAGGAGTGTGAACAATCAAGTTTTCATAGATGAAATTTAAAATTTCTTCCTGGCAAAATGCTATAGCTTCTGACATTTTCTTTGGTGGAAAGGCTTCATTAAAAGCCAGAGTGGCAGCAGATGCAGCAGGGGCATAAGTGTCACACTGGGCAACAAACCATGGGCCTGCTAATTGTTTGAGGTATGGGGCTATATTGCGCTTCACTTTAGAAACAACTGATCTATGAGCCACATGAGATGCCTCACGAACACGATGTTCAACATCCAGAGCAAGTAGTGAATACAATCTTGGCCAGAATGGTAAAATTGCCAAGACCTGATCAGGTTCTGATGACCCACAGAGCTGAGCAAATTCCTGCAAGGCCTGAAAAACAGGTTGAAATAGAAAGCATATTCAATTTGATGAAAACATTCAATTACAATGGTATCATAATTTCTAAATATTTTTCAAACTTACCTTTAATTTTGTTACCCCATCTTTTTTGTTCATTTTTTTTAGAACTACTTGAAAGTTTGGATCAAGGTGAGAATCTGCCATTTGCTCATCTACACCCATGCTTTCTTTCAGAGAGCTAAAGCTCATAAATGGATTAATTGGAGCTGAGCCAAGCATCTCAGCGCTGCGCCCACTGCTTGATGGCTAGAACAGACAACAAAGTTTTATATTTTTCAACTGTCATTACATTCACTGTCAGACTACACATCTAATTGGCAGAAGAAACAGCTTTAAAACAAAATTTGCGTGAGATAGTGGGCTAAGAGGCGAGTTAACTCCTCCTAGATCTGGATTGTTGCAATCCTGCGCCAATCCAGCACACACAAATCTTCAAATATTCGTCATTCATATAGATTGACAACCATACGGATGGAGGTGAAACTGTTTAAAATTGATTAAACTAATCATTCTGAATAGAGTGAACAATTATTTTAAAAGTAATTTGATAACATTCACTGTCCATACGAAACACACATACGTCACGAAACTAGCATAACCTGAAATTTAATATTTTTAACTCCTTAAGGCTATTTATCTTACCCGAGCATTGTTTTTGGTACGTTGTGAATTCTTGTCTTTACCCATTTTGTCCAATTTAATATTGCAAAACGGGTGTAAAACGGGGTTTTAACACAAACTGTTCGATCAAAACATTCGAACTCTACACAGCACTGCCATATTCAACGCCTTCTGCTATCAAAACGTCCGTCTTTTCCTTTTCCCTCTTCTTCTGTTGTTTTTTGTTAACCTCAAATCAGTCAAGATCAGCTGGGAGTTCGGGGAACATTAACTTCAGCACTGGATGTCGATATTTAAGGCATAAAAAATGTTGATTTCTCGGGCCTTGCCAGTTCTTCGTAATACTCTTCTCAAATCAAACACTAAAAATATCGCGAGGGTTCCCGTAAGAAACAGTGGTGGTGTTGGGTATGTATTTAGATTGGCACTTGCTTCAGCCTTCATCCTATCTTTGTGTCATTATTGATATCCCTATCTAGTCCATACTGCACGTTTTGGTAGTATATCCAAATTGTTTCCATTAGGTAAACAATTGGGTTTTGTGAAATGTGCTAGTGTCGTGTTCTGTCGTCAACACAATTCTGTTGTTACTTCTTCAGAAGACAGTTCTTGTGATAGCTTAAAATTGAAAACTTTAGTCTACCTTTCTGTTTTTTTAAACTTGTAATAAATATGACAATATGACTAATGTAACCTTCATGTTGATTCCTTTCCCAGAGTCCGGTATCGTAATTCAACTCCAATCCCTGAAATCCCAAGCATCGAGAGAGCTACAGATGCTTGCTATATAATCTTCTGGTGGTGGGTGTGCTACAAGTTTATGACAAGTTACGATCATCTTATTGTAAGTAAAAATCAACCTAAAATTTTGGAGAGAACAAATGCTGAAATCTACTGATCTCCTTGCCAAAATGATAAAGGGAGAAATTTAAAACCTAAATTACTTATTGTCCTGTTAACAATCCCGAACATCCAACTTTTCTGATTTTTCTGGTGGAGTATTTTAGAAGTCAGCATAAGCTCCGTTAAAATATAGCTCCTTTTACTTTGTGACTTGTCCAAATTTTAATCCTTGTTTGGGTTGTGAATTTCTCTCTTCTTTTTGTCAAGGAGGCAATGAATCATCTTAAACCATTTAATCACTTTTCAATTGTACTTTTCAGGGAGAATATCCGTATCCTGATCCGTTAGCATGGACTGATGAGGAACTAGGTGTTCCCCCAGATGACTATGAACCACCTAATCGCAATTAGATCTATATTTAAACAAACCAATTCAAATATAAAAAACTAGCTGTGCTTACTGTACATAAACCAGTTTAATGGAATAAATTTTTAAAATCTGCTTACAGGGATGACGATTAGTTTTTTTGAAGGAATGCCTGGACTATTTGTCATATTACACTGGTCTCTTTTTGTTGTTTGCAAAGATTATGTCGAGAGCCTTTTTAAATGCCCTGTAATCAACCTCATCTCTTAGTCCCCGCTCAACTCCAAAGGACTTTTGAACTGCAGCTAACTCTGGCATAGAGAGGAGAGTCAACATATTTCGTAAGGCTAATGCTTTGGTGAACTGCTCTTGTGTGACTGAGCCAATTTTCTCATGGTCATAGTCCTGTTCACAACAAATGGTTCATGTTATTTGCGATTTTATAGAAAGTAGTTTTCCCAATATACCAAAACATCTTTGCATACCATGAAGATGTCCTCCAAATTTGGATGAGGTTTATGAGCTAACTTTTGTAATGCACGGCTTGCAAGTGCTCTCTCCTCATAATTCAAGAAGTTTCTGTTAGTTTCATTAGGAGGAACATGCTGTAGAGGTGTTATCAGTGGTGCTCTCTGTAGTTCATCCACAGTTAGAGCCTCATCCACAACACCATTAAATCTAGCATAGTCAATCCAACCAGGTTGTTTTACTGCTCCAAATCTGCAAGCAAAATTGTGTTCAAAATGAGTAGATAAATTATAAACCTTTTGTCTGTATGTGACACTGTGTAGAGTTGGGTACTTCAAACTTACACATGTGATAGTGTTGCAATTTCAGTTCTGGTGAGTCCAAAATTTAGGACATTGAGGACCCTTTCAAAATCTTCCTTTGAAACGACATTGTGGTTGAAACTATCATAGTCTTTCATTGCATCTTTTATTCGGACCCTCTCTCTCACCACCTGCAGAAGAACATTTTGTCAAAAGAGTGCTGGTTCTAATATTGTCTCCAAAAGAGAGACACTTACCTTGGCTTTTATTTTTGCGAGTATCCATACTATATCTTTCTCACGGCGTTCTGGATGATCATTCCATTCTTTCCAGTTAACCAGTTTTCGATTTTTAAAGTAATCTTCATACTGGAAAACAAAGGCAATTTTTGCATGCAAAGTCTCTCTTGTAGCAATTGCATATTGGTAAAATAGAAACATTTCCTTACTAGAGGTTCCTCTAAAGTTCCAGGTTCTACTTCACGCAGCAGTCTGTAGTAGTCAACCCCCATGTCGTCACTAAATCTTTGCTCGAGTGCATACAAGTGTTCCTTGGGGGGCAGTAATGAATTGAATACCAAGCATTGGCGGAACTGAGCCCTTGAGACGTGGCCTTTGTTTAGCCTGCAACAATTGTTCATGTAGACACAAGAAATTGGAACTCCATTGCACTGCATCAATGCTGAATTCAAGTCTGACTCACGGATCGTAGTCGTGGAAGATGGGCCTGAGGTTGATGCGCCTCTTGTGGACGCGGTGCTTGAGCTGCTCGACGGCGTCTTCGCACAGGTCGACGACTCGCACGCACGCCTTCAGCCACGGGAGCCTGCCGGGGGGCGCCACGTCGAGCACGTCCTGACCCGGGGAGTCCACCTCGAAGGTGGGGGTCTTCTCCAAGGTGCGCGGCGAGAACACTGCAAACCGGAGAGACGGCCATATGATGAGCCGCAGCATCGCCCCTGTGGGCGGCCCCGGCGGCCCCGCCTCTGCTGGAGCAGGACGCGGGCAGACAGACCGTGGTCGATGTCGTCCGTGAAGGTGGTGTGGATGACGCGCTGATCGTCGTTGGGGTCCGTGTACATGGTGGTCACGATGTCAATGTCGGGCTCGGCCAGGTACAGCCGCTGGGTCCCCGCCAGCCCCATGGCGTCCAGGCAGCGCCTGAACTGCTCCCGCGTGACGCGGCCGCAGCGAAGGGGGTCGAAGTCCTGCAACGTGAGGGGGACAACAACGTTGAGGGAAGGGAAGGGAAGGCCAACACACATACATTCCACCTCTTCTTGTCACCTCTGCCCTGGCAGGACTTCCCCCTATTGCCCCCCCCCCCCTTCTCTCTCGTGTATACTTCCCTTTCAGCTCACTTGCCTTGAAGAACTCAGCCACCCTGATGCGGTGGCGCCAGACGTACTGCTGGATGCGGCGCAGCACCCTGTGCAGGGACTCGCGGTCCCGCGGCGGCCTGGACACGGGGTGGAAGATGGCCTGCGGCCCGAACACCGTGTCGAGCGCGATGTTGCCCACCTCCGGGCGCGGGAGCCTGGGCAGCTCCGCGGAGATGGCCCTCGTGGGGAAGCGGGCTATGAGGTCGCCGCCGACGTCCAGCATCTGCTTCTCGGTCAGTGTCTTGGTGATCCTGTCGATGACCTCGAGGAACGCCACGTAGTTTACTGTGTAGCTGCTCTTCATGAACTTTTTGAGTAGGAGCTGGAAGTCCACACCGGCCACGAGAAGGCGAAGGTGGTCAAGGATTCGGGCAAAGTGGCTCACAGTCACAACACCTTCGTTTTTAGTGAGCTGGAATTTTTTTAAAGAAATATTTTAAAAATTAAAAGTAGGAGTGCACCTCGTTGAAAATTGATTTTTTAAATGTATCGTCACCAGTTCATAATCCTGGAAGTATGGGCGGAGAACTAATTTTCTCATGTTTACAGCAGTAGCTATCTTTGTAAGAAGTATTTTGAGTCTACGCTCTTCTGTGATGCTGAGGGCATTAACATGGAAGGGGTCATCCCATTCGTGTCCAGAAACCAGTGGAGTGTTTTGCTGGAAGTCAGGTACTTAAAGCAACAAGTGAAGATTAGAAGAAAATCCCACAGTGAAGAAATTTACAGATTGATAGATACACTCACTGTTGTCATGAATAGTAGAGCAAAATTGTCCATACAATATGCGTCCATCCTGAACCCGAAAGTAGTCGGTTATTTCTGCTATCTCTTGATCTGAAAGTCCAATCTCTCCACGCAGAACTCCAGATAGTACACCAACAAAATTTGACTCTGAGGAAAATTGATAATGCCATTAGTTTTACCGATGCTTAACTATTAGTCTGCCAAAAATATTACAATTATTTAGGTACCTGATATGAGATTGTTGCCCTCTGGATCAAGCGGTTTAAAATATTTCCACAGGTCCACATTTACTCGGAATACAGCAGCTCTTATTTTGTTCAGTGCTCGCCATACATCGGTCAGTTCCTGTAAACCAGTAAAGTTTATGAGCTGAGTTTCAAGATAAATGTAGTAACTTCCAAGTCTTAAAACTATTTAAATATTTTCACCTTTTTGTGATCCCGCATTGTGCTGGATGTTTTTGGTTAAAAGTTCACTCTGAGAAATTTGCTATTTTAATAGTAAAAATGAATCTGATTCAAAGGGTTAATTTCATGTTCACTTTGGCCAAGACATTGTTGAAATCGGATTTGCCCGCTATTAGTTAAGGAGGAACCGGCTTTCAAAAACAAACAGAAAAAACAGTTGAAATGTGGAACTGGTCAGTACGTTCCGACCGGCAAGAAATTAACGAAAAATAAGCCACCACGGTAAACTGAAGGAAGTATTTATTTTTCCTATATTCCTTAAACAATTTCTTCAAATTTGCCTCTTAAACATTACGAAGAAGATGCAGTCTTCAGAGAAAAACAATCTTAATTTTTATCGTGTTTGCGGCGTGCTCTTGGTTTCTGACAGTACTCTCCGGGTCAATGTCGAATGGCCCGTCGGCCAGCACGAGCACCACAAACGGAGCCCTCTGATTGGCCAGCGGCGCCGCCCCCACCCACCCTTGAGTCTACTTTTCCCAGAGTGCACTGCCCTGCTGACCCGACAGTGACGCAGCCTCACTCATTTTGCTTCTCTTCCACATCGACGCCAGAGTCAGCGGCTTTTCATCCGCTCCTAAATTTCACAGCCACCATGGCAGAAAACCAGGACTATAACAACGGTTTTAATCAGGATATTACTGAACAAGAATATCAGCAAGATGATCAAATGAACGGTGGAGGCGATGCGCCTCAAGATAGTGGTAGCGCCGAGGCTCCTGGCAAGGATGACGAGAGGTAAGCAATCTGGCGTTCTCGCCACCTCCCCTACGACTTCGTCTACCGCGTCCTTTTCGCCGGCCGGAAACTTTATTTATACTCCAATGAAGGGCATTAATGTTCGCTCACTGATACTCGAGTTCAAAACGGCCGTAGCTAACTTGTTATGGCTTGTAGCTTTCAATCCGTTTTCGCCACGGCTTCGTTGTGTTTTGACCCAAGCGTGTCCAAAGGGCGTGCCTATGTTTGCTCACTTTTTTACTTAGCTATGCAGACTTAACGTTCTTGTTGCGAACTGCGTGCCGCATTTTTTCGGTACAGTTCTTTCGTTATGAAGTGTTCATTGTGCATGAAATCGTCGCCGTTCTATTCCGTATCGATTTTTCCATTTTCTCATCATGGCGGCATATCCGAGAACGCTTGGGTTGTAAGCGTCGCTCACCGCTGTTGAAGCCCGTGAGACCCTCACAGTTAAATACTACAATGATCTCTGTAGGGCTGCCACACGCCAGAAATTGTTCTATTTTTTCAGCTGTTTTGAAACTTGGTTAAGTGAGAAGCCCTGGTAGATTTGTATTACTTTGCCGGTCGTTTATAACTTTGTTCCACGCTGGCGTGGCGGCCATTTTCTAGTCATGTAACCTACATATCAAATTAGTATAGCCCTAAGTTTGTTCCTTTTTTTTCCTGGGATTTGTGTTTTCTATCAGATGTGAAGTAGCTTTTCAGAGGGGACTAAGCTCATTAAAGTCTTTCTCTTACTCAGCCGTCCCAGAATGGATTCTCTTGAAGTAAATGGTAACTTTTGTAATACAGAGTATTAGTGTAAATTTTCTTGAGTTCTATAGCTACTTTTTTTCAGCAGTTAAGTCAGTTAAAGCCGTTATTTCTGTTTTGTGCCTTTTGCCTAAGAAATGCCTCCGTTTACTTATGAGTTTGGTCTTGGTAATTTTTTGAGCAGATGTTTACATTACAGGTCTAATGTTGGTGCATTCTTGGTTCATCTTTTCTCGGGAACTTTTTTATATCATGGGTTGTTCGCTTTATTTGTTTCGGGTCAAATAACTTAAATGATGGAGGCGTTTTATGGCATAAGGCATAATTAAGAAATCTTTTATAGTAAATGTAAATAATGAATCTTTGAAACTTGGTCAACTTTTTCTGCAGTCCATGCTGATAATTGCAACATCCTATAAAACTTATTATTTTTGCCAAATCTTAAGTTAAATAACTTTTCAATAATCTTAACACTTTCCAGTTCTCTTCCAAATCAACTCGTAGGCCTTAGCTCTAAGCTTTACTTGCCCTGTACTTCCTTTCCTTCAGTTACATTTTGCTCTTGTGGATTCCAGGTAATTAATTTCAGCCTTGTTACAAAATTTATAGCTGTTGATTAATTTGTGTAGAACTAAGATTTGGTGGCAGTTATTTCCTAGTAACTATGTCCATGAGTTTTGATCATAACTTTATTAGTCTTTCAACCTGTGCCTGCTCTCAACGAATTCAACTTTGTCTGGCTCTCAAGCCTTAGCAGCTAATTAGTTTTTTGGTGGTCAGTAAGTACTTCTAACGTCGTTGGTTGTCTTCAAGACAAAATGTTCCTGAAGAAAGGAGGATCATGGTTCTGGAGAGGTGCTCACTAACCTGTCTTCCTTTCCTGCAGGTGACATGCCTCACCACAGCAGTCGGGGGAGCTGAGCGCGGGGAGCAGGCCCATGGTATTTATCCCTGGGTTACTTTCTTGTGGTCAAAACGAATTTCGTCTGGTCAGACAAGGCCATTTTTTTTGCTTTGCTCGTTGGGCCAACTAAATGTAATTGACCAGTATCACTGTCAGTCTTCAATATAATTTTGTCATATCTCACAATTTTGTCATCCAGCATCATTTTTCGTAACTATTTCAGATGTTTTTCTTCCTTCTGGAGATATTGCAGATTCCATTTGAAGTTCAGTTTGCTGCCGTTTGTTCGTTCCTAAGGATTTTCTTTCTCTTGCATTGACTGTACAGTAATTTTCTTGTTTGATACACTCTAGGATACTTTAAAACCTTAAAGCCAGGTTAAAGTAAAGCTTCCTTGGCTAGACTTAGATCTCAGCTCAATGACCTCCCTTCTTATAGAAAATCTATCGTTTCAGGAAACTCTTTGTTGGAGGTCTCAGCTGGGAGACTACAGATAGTGAGTACTTTTCACAATAGTCAATGCAAGTCAAATTGGAGGGGAGGGTGGTTCCCACTCAGGAGAGTAGAGGCCTTTCATCTGTGAGCTTTCATCAAACTTGTACTTATGTGCCTTTGAATTTTCAGAGGAGCTGAGGGAACACTTTGGATCTTATGGCGAGATTGAGAGCATCAACGTTAAGACTGATCCCACCACCGGACGATCAAGAGGTTTCGCCTTCATCGTCTTTTCACAATCATCGACCATCGATAAGGTGAGTGTGGAGTGTCTTTTGTTTAAGGTTCAGACTATATGATGTATTTTTAACTTTCGTTCTCCTGACATTCCTTTGATGTCAAAATAAATATCTGATAGTCTGATTATTATTTTATTTTAAGTTCTAAGGGTTTCATAGACTTAATGATGTATTTTTAACTTTCGTTCTCCTGACATTTCTTTGATGTCAAAGTACATATCTGATGGTCTGATTTATCGTAAGGTAAATTCAAAGGGTTTCATAGACTAGATGATGTGTTTTAAACTTTCGTTCTCCTGACATTACTTTGATGTCAACTTGAATCTGATGGTCTGACAATCCTAAGTCACCTAATAGAATATGATTTTTTTAAACTTTCGTTCTCCTGATACTTGTTGATAATTATTCAGAGTGTTTCTCTGGCTGAATTCCTTCCAAAGTGCTATCAATTCTTTTTTTTTCTTGGTTTAACATTTTATTCTGATTTTAGGTATTACAAGCTGGAGACCATATTATCAATAACAAGAAGGTTGATCCCAAGAAAGCAAAGGCCAGGCATGGAAAGATCTTTGTTGGTGGTCTGACCTCAGAGTTGAGCGACGATGAGATCAAGAACCACTTCGCACAGTTTGGCACAGTAAGTACTGCTGACTTGTCTATTATCACTCTTCCCATTCCGATGATGGTTTCCAGTTCTGCTACTGAGTACTTTTGAGGAGAACTATACCAATAATACTGAGGATGGGAAGAGCACTGTTATAGCACGTATAAGGCATTGATCTGAACTAATTCGTTGTACTTGCTCTTGTTTTCAGATTGTAGAGGTTGAGATGCCATTCGACAAGACTAAGAACCAAAGAAAAGGCTTCTGCTTCATCACATTTGAGTCAGAGCAAGTAGTTATGGAACTACTGAAGAACCCTAAACAGTCCATCAGCGGCAAAGAAGTTGATGTGAAAAAAGCCACACCCAAGCCCAATGAGATGGGTGGTATGCGAGGTGGACGAGGAGGACGAGGTGGCAGAGGGCGTGGCCGAGGTGATCATTTGGGTTTGCTAGGACACTGGGAGAGAGTGGGAAAGTCATGGGGTGCTGGTTTTCCATGATGGGTTCAGTTCTGCTACTGATTAGCATTGAGGAAACTTTTACCAATTAAATTTACTGAGAACAGCACTTTGAAAGCCATGGGGATTTTTGCTCTTTGATTCAAAAACAACCATCATAAGGTTTAAAGTAAAGAAAGGCCATCAGCCCAAACTAATTTTGATCCTTTTTTTCTAGGAGGCTACGGAGGCCAAGGCTGGGGAAACCAGGGCTACGGGGGCTATGGCTATGGCCAGGGCTATGATGGTTGGTATTTTTGTAAATTTAGCGTAAACACTAATCCTCATGAGCTAATAGATTCCCACACCCCTCCCACTCGTCATTGAGTTAGATAGTTTGTTAGACACTTTAAAACATCGTTGTTTTGTTTTCAGGATATGGCGGTGGTTATGATTACTATGGTGGTGGATATGGAGGCTACGGTGGTGGATATGGTGGATACGACTACAGTGGCTACAATAACTACGGAGGCTATGGTGAGTTCTTGGGTTGATAAACAATAAAAAAACAAAAAATTATGGATGCTTCGCAATTCATTCACCTGGTTTTTGATGTTCTTCACTGTGAAGTCCACACCCAGCCGAGTTTGCCATGTAATGCCAATTTGATAAATTTCTATGTCTATTAAATGTATATATCTTTCAAATCCTGCTACCTTTTAAATATTAAATTTACGGGGAGTAATTATTGGTCAATTGTGTATTTAGTGTGCTTGCTTGGTTGTCTTGATGGGATGAGTGGAGCAACCATTTTCCATTGCTTTGTGGCTAAAATTGCGACTTTGTGGTTGGTGTTGCAGGAGGAAGTGGTGGCTATGGAGGCAAAACAGGCAGGGGTCGGTCTGCGCAGAGGCATCAACCATATTAAGGGACGAATCTTCTCATCATCATTCACTCATGGTGGGTCATTAGTGCTTTAGGGTGAATTTCAATTCCTATCTTTGCAATTTGCAGTCCTTAAATATCTTGTTAGCTGAGCATGTGTAGATAGGCTATTATAAATTGTGGTATCTCATCTTTGTAATGTGCTGATTTTCTATGATGGGTTCAGTTCTGCTACTGAGATATATTGAGGAAACTTTACCATTAAACTTTCTGAGAAAAAATGCAATTACAGCTTGTCAATCCCTTATTTGTCTAGTTAATGTGGTTAGTGCCTTGACTTGCTGTTTATTCAGAAGCATGCAAAGAAATTTTGGAATGATTGCTATCCTATGATGGGTTCAGTTCTGCTACTGATACTTTTGAGGAAATCTATACCATTAAATTCTGAGGTAGCATATGTGTGATTCTGTAGTTCTTAATGCTTGGCCTGCTATATTTGTTTTAGTTTTGTCCAAATTTAGTTATTAGTTCCCATTGACTTCTGGGACATTGTGCTTAGAAGTACATGAAGCATGTGTACTTGCGAATAATGTTGCTATGTGCTATTCAATGATGGGTTCAGTTCTGCTACTGATATACTTTGAGGATACTTTACCATTAAATATTCTGAGAAATAGCACCAGGGCAACCTATGGTAGTTTCAGTTTCA